ATGACAGTGAAACCCAAGTAAATATAATGAAACGCAGGCAGAATTTTACCTGATGAGGTCCAAAGGCTGTTCTTTGTAGAACCTCAAGAAACGGGCCCACTCCATGTAGAGCGTGTATCTCTCGTTGTCACAGTTGGGATCATTGGCCTTTTTCCAGTACTGGCACTGCGAGCAAATCAGAGTCAAGACAAAACACCTCATCAACAGACTCAAATACTACGTTAAAAGAAATGGACGTTAATGACGATGCATCCCTCTTAAGATTATGCCAATTAAACTAATTTGAAATTCAAACTTAGCACTCTACCACTTTATATAAGTAGAACTCATTATATGCAGTATTTATAATTTTATGATATATATAAGATAATACACCTTTTCAGAAAACATTTATCACTCTTAGACATGAAATAAATGTACTGTAACCACATTACGTTACCTCACACCAGTGCTGTACTGGTACACCACACTCTTGCACTGGGAGGTTACTGCAGTGGTTTGCTCCTTTACACAGGTGCAGCACATGCAATTGCTGAAGTTCAAGTTTCCCTGAAGTAGAAACTCACCAATTTACACCCGTTTCATTAAAAATAATGCAAATTTAAATCCTGCTCTCTGTGCTTCCCAATTCAAGGCCAGGCTGGACGAGGCTTGGAGCAACCTGGTCTAGTGGAAGGTGTCCCTGCCCATGGCAGGGGGGTTGGAACTGGGTTATCTTTAAGGTCCCTTCCAACCCAAACCATCCCGTGATTCTATGATTCTATGAATCAGGCTCTCATTGTAAACTGCACGGCCAGAAACGTTTCAAAGGTGTAAATTAGGGGATATAAATAAAAGCTGTCTGCCTCCAGCCATAGCACTGTAACGTGCTCCGTGCTGTGGTTTCTCGAGCTGTAACGCAAGGGCATACCACATGAAATTCTGACACTGATTAACTCCAGCAGCGCTCAGCACCATCGCATACCTGGTGCTCAGAAAATTCTAAACCTTCCGTTTCCTAGAAATTAAACAGCACAAAATAACTGCAGTTTCTGACAGCTCTTGTAATTTTATTTTGTGTTGTAGAACTTGGTCTTTATTTGGCTGTCTCAAACATTGTGATTGTTTTTTCCTGAATGTCTCTCAATCACACAGAAAAACATGAAAATTGGTTTCTAAACAGAAATCAAGACCTTTAAGCCACCTGAAGTTTGCATTTTTAAAATATTTTGAAAGATTAAACCAGTTATGTTTAAACATATTTAAACATAATCTTTTATGTTTAAAAGATCAAACCAGTTTACGTTTATGTTCCTCCCAGGAAGCTGGGGGGGACTTTTTACAAGGGCCTGTAGTGACAGGACAAGGGGCAATGGGTTTAAATTGAAAGTGGGGAGGGTTAGATTGGGTATCAGGAAGAAGTTCTTCCCGGAGAGGGTGGGGAGGCACTGGAACAGGTTGCCCAGAGAAGCTGTGGATGCCTCATCCCTGGAAGTGTCCAAGGCCAGGCTGGATGAGGCTTGGAGCAACCTGGTCTAGTGGAAGGTGTCTCTGCCCATGGCAGGGGGGTTGGAACTGGATGGTCTCTAAGGTCCCTTCCAACCCAAACCTTTCTATCATTCATTCTGTGTTTTAGGCAATGATTTCCAAGTGTGTCTCATGACTTTGGAATTCTGTCATACAAATCCTTAGCATTTAAGATTGGTTTTACTTGTAAGGAAAAGATTTTTGTATAACTGCTTTTTATTATCTGTGCTTTTGGTAGTCCCAACAGTATGAAGTGCTTCCCAGTCTAGACTAGCCTTCTACAGCCTAGACTCTGATCAGCTAAACTTTCCCCCTAAAAACCTGCAGAATGTCCATTCAGCCATTTCTTCCCATTTTCTAAGGGAGGAAAAACATTTCAAAACATTAAAATGTATAAATCTATATAAAGTATTTAAAAATACCGTGTGGCAGAATTCACAGATATAAATAGCAATTTAAGTTCACTAAGGCATTGTGTCAAATCTCAAACGATCATTAAAAACAAGGAGAGAATTTAAGACTTAAGAAAAAAATTAAACACAACATTCAGAAGGGAAAAAAAAGACGTAAAAAACCAGAAAGAAGCGATCAGTAAAATACAGTAGGCCATCTCTCTTGTTTCCTCCATGGTATTTCAGGGCTAAACCTGCATATGTTGTATTAAAAACTGACCCTACAGCCATAAATAAACATCAGTATTTACCACCCTGACCATGCAGCTGCTCACCAAACCTCACGAGGAGATGGACAAGTGACCACCCCACACTGCACTGCAGGGCTGGTGCCACTCAGGTGACTTCAGTCCCAACGTGGTACCATCCCAAGAGTACCAGTAGAACTACAGGTAGCACATACTGCTGTGTAACTACAGGATACGTACGCATATGCCCTACAAGCACTGCTGAACGTAAGAATCCGCAGTAGGCATTCACTCCTTGTGATAATCTTCCTAAAGTACTACCACATTACCTGCATCATAAACATGACAGCAACATACTACGGAGTAAGCCTCCTACACGTTACGTGACTGACACTGATATCCTAGAAACTCAGTTCCTGTATATACCCACAGGAAGAGACATTTCAGCACCTAAGAGCCCAAGAGTAGGGCTGGCAGATACATCTTGTGTACGGTGAAAGAGAATCAGTTACTGGGGCAAATGGAAGGGTTTGAGCAGATTTTCATTTCTGCTGGAAAGAGCAATGTCACAGTAGGTAAAAGAGTAGTCACACTGAAATGCTCAAGGGAGCAGAAAGCTCCAATACTTACATCATGAAGAGGATATGCAGCTGAGTAAGTGCCGTTATTCAGCAGTCTCTTAATCCCAAATTTTTTCTTCCCTTCCTCTGTTCCATACGGGCATCGTGTAAGAATGTAATTAACCTGAGAGTCAAACACAAGGATTTCAGCTCTTTTCTGCTTTAAGGCCATTTAACAAAAAACTGTCATGTTTGTGCCCTGTGTATAACCCGCAGGAACAATACACAGAAGCAAAAGGGGTTTTTGCCCCCTGCGTGAGACTGCTGAGGGCACGCTTGCCTTGAGACATCCAGAAGATCCATTCCCACAAATACTGCTCCGGATTTCCAAGGACGACACACTGGGCTTCCTCGTATTTACCCACAGGTACCACTGTTCATATATTCCTTCCTGGCATGAATATTCCTACAGGCCCGAGTAAATCTACACGTAGATAAAAGTAGATGAATTCGTATACGTACTATTCTGTTCCTCATGGAGGGCGAGAAGAAGGTGCTCTCGTCGTTAATGAGGTACAGCTCCTGCTTGTCCTTGCTGAACGGTGCCGTGAAATAATCCGGCTCAGGGTGCATTACCTTCTCGGGAAGCCTGAGTGGTGCCAGCATACAGTCCAGGGGGTTCTCCACCATCGAGGGAATGTCATTTTCCTTGATAGGAACTTTAATGTTCAGCACTTCCGCATATGTAATCAGAACCTCCCACGGGGCATGGATCTTCACAAAATAAATCTTGCCATCCTCAGATTCCTGCCCCAGCAAAGTTAAATCTGACATCAGACTAAACTGTACCTTACTGCAAAATTTATGGCACCAGCTGTTACACAACATTTATTACCTTCTACATATTTTTGAAAGCTTTAAAAAGGAAAAGAATAGGGGGAATAGGGGACTGTTTTGTATTTTTTTTTAACTGAAAAACTTACCCAAGTGGTTGGTTGTTCATAAAGACCATCTTTGAGCTACTAAAAGCTCATAAATGCTTTTCAAACTACACGAACCTTATGCATGGAGGCCGGAAAATGCTCGCTACACCCCGAGCGCACTGGGAACGCACGGGTTTGCTGCGCAGGGCTGGCCCCTCGGCAGCCCACGTGTCCTGCAGCCCACCGTGCTGCACTGTCAAACCATTCTCCTCCTTGGAGTGGAGTTTTCATGCAGTGGAGCAGAGCACACAAGACTCCTTGCAAGAAGGAGTTGCCAAGCAGAGCTCAGACCTCTTGCAGCCTCACAGCTATGACAAGGAAGAATCTTATCACAGGCCTCACCCCCCAGTATACCTTCTTCTGCCATGTTTCTGCATACAGAGGAGAAAATGGCAATCAGAAGGTCTTTTTGACATGTTGCATCTAGGGGTGTTACGGAGTCTAAACTTCATCAAGAGTTGTTTTTCCCCAGGCAACCTCTGGCAGAAAAAAGGAGCACGCCGACTGAAGAACTCCACACTCTACGTCCTCCAGCCTAAACAGCAACACTAACCAAACAGCCTCAAATTGTTACACCAGAATTCTTCCTCATCATAACTACAACAGCCAGTGGGCGTACGCTTATCTAGTCGCTGACTCCCCAACATGTTACTGGTTGTGAGGTGGGATTAAATCTAGCTGTGAGCATACTTCCCTTTTACATGGGTTGAAATGAAGTCACAGCTATTTCGGAACCACTTTTCTCTTTGTTATGAAACAAAAAGCCATCACTTCCTCCTGAATTAAATTTCTTCCCACAATTCTTACACACTTATCTGGGAAAATAACCCATATGGACACATTAAGCTTGTTTCACTTAAATTAGCCATGCTCCACTGGAATCTGCTAGAAAACATTATAATGTGTCTCAAAGAAACAAAGTGATATACATTAAGCAGTAATTTGCAGCCCTATTTATTTGGTTCTAATTTTTCTCTTTTTTTTTTTTTACCTTCTTATCTTCTGTTTCTAGTTCCAAACCAGCCTTCTGCAGATTCCTCTCAAATTCTTTTCTTCTTTCCTGAAGAGAAATAAATACGCATTTATTAACTGATGAAATCAGCAACTAGCTAATCACTTATGATGACTTCACTGAGTTTCACTCCTCCTAAGTGCCCTGATGACAACCCCCCAGTTCTATGTCACCTCTGTAAGAGAAAGCAGGCCAACTGACAACAACCAGCTGATGCATACCAGCCCACTTCCGAGTGATGGCCAGCCTAGGGAACTCCACTGACGAGCACCAGGAAACCTATCTGTTAGTTGGGAATAGGCTCATAAACTGCCCAATCTTGTTAACCAGAGCTGTAAGCGAAGTCACATGTCTTGAGCGTTTCTGACTTTTTGGGAGGGTGATGTGTGTGGTGTGTCCTCATTCATTATTATCATTCATTAGTTATCATTCAAGGTTCACATTCCAGTCTAGCTAAAAGAATGTTAAAAGCAGATGAAAAGAATTCTGGAGGCATCTGGAAGACTGATCACTTATAGCAACGTCTATTTACAAGATTCACAGCTGTGCCCGATACCAATGTTCAGGACAATTCCAACAGGATGCTTCCCAATCCACGTCACTGCAACACAAGATGTCTTACAAACCACGGCGTGTAAGGTCACGTACGCTTAGCTCGCACAAAGCCAGTGCAAACCAGACCTGCCTGTGGCAGTGCCCGACGCCTGCACCACCCCCAGTTTGCAACCCTTACTGAACGCTGCAGCTGGCCAAGTAATTCCTAGGTAGTGTCTTTAGGTAACAGCATTTTCTTCGGCGCCTCCTCTGGAGGATTTTTGCTCCTACTGGGAGACTGAATTAGTATCCTTTTAATTATATAACATTTGCTGAAAAACTGCCAGAAAAACCACAAATTAAGCTAATATTAAGCTAATTTTGAGCCCTAGCTTCTTGAAAAAGCATTAGCTAGACTACCAATTTTTTTCTAGCTAAAACCTGCTGTGCTATGTGACGTGCTCTCTACTGAAAGGCCTTAAATGACATTTTTCAAACACGCTTAAAAGAAAAATTAAAAAGACCCACAGTTTTCATCCAATTTACTTCTCCTGTGTGTCTGTGAGGAAGAGAAACACATTTGCATTTCAGCTTGCATAAACTACTCAGATAAAGGAATACAGACTGAAGAATAGCGTTAATGGCCCTCAAATCTACGTTAAGGCATATTGATATATTCTCCTGTTCGTGGCCTTGCATTTTTACCTCTCACATCTGATTTTGCCAAATATTCTAACATACTAAATTAGACACCGGCCTAGATAAACTTAAAAGTATGATAGTTCCTGAATTCTAGTACATGCTGGGGGCAGATGCAACACCATGCATTATTTTTTAACTCATCTGTCCCACAAACCTGCCTACATGCACCTGAGAACCCTTGTTTGCTGACCTAATAAGGAAAAATACAACTAAAAGGTGATTTATGATTACATTCCAAAGTGCTATATAAAAGCTGACATTCAAGCCTAGTAACCAAAGCTATGTGCTATTCTGGATTACATTTTCTCCCAGCAAAGCACGCTGGCGTGCATTCTTTCCCCTGCAAATGCTGGAGGAGAGCCAAGCGCGTCAGCTCAGGGTCTTCTCTGCCCACAGCAACACCAGCCAGCTCCCCTCCCAGCTGTGCAGCTTAAGAACAGCTAGAGCCAAAGGGCCTGGCCCCATCTTACTCATTGTTCCTTACGCTATACTTGGTGTGATTAATTAGAGTGCTGAAATAGGAATTACGCTCTTTTTACCACCTTGATCTCTACCCATAAGCCACCTTCCCTGAAAGCCATGGGAATGTACCGTACTTTCCAGTCACTCAAAACAACCATCTTTAAAAGCAATCAATCTGCTGCAAAAGAAAAACACTCCTCCTTTTCTTGCCAAATACTGGATTTCTTCATGTTGCCGTTAAAGGCTTAAAATGCGCAAAATGTCCCCTCGGACCAGCGCTGTTTTGTTTCAGTATGTGTTTGTATGAATTTTAAGCTCACTGTCCCAAACCTAGAACGCTAGGCCTGGTGCACGTCTGTGACTCTGCTACAGATGCCACGTGCAGCTGCAGAGGGAAGAGGGATGGAACAGAAGGAATCACAGCACTGAGGACCAGTAATAGTGGGCTGATGCCCTTCCTCACCGTTTAAGTACAGTTCTTAAGCCTCTCCAAAGCATCTATAAAAGGCTGAAAACCACATTTTCTGAGACCACAGTGGCCTATACAGGAGAGGCCAGTAGAGCGCTCCCCTCTGCAGGCCAGGCACCGCTGTGGATGTCCCGCACACTTGCGGAGTAACTCAACCACCTAACGCACCTTTGGCTGCAAGGAGCCGTCCCGGTAAGATGAAGAAAGCAAGATCCCAAGTCCAGCGGTACCGATATGCACACTGCAGATGTACCACCGCCCCATCAGTTACAGAAGGAAGACAGACAGTGTTATAAACCTGCTCCTTGGTAACTGTGCTGTTACTGCTAGTAACAACAGTCAATCATCAGGAGAAGAAATTAATTTTAGGTTTACAGCATACTACTCCTTCACCAAACTCCTCCTCCTCACTTTTCCCCTGCTTTTAGGCAAGGGAGCACCAGACTTACGAAAGCCTTGTATACGTGAGGATGCTCGGGCTTATTCCACCTGCAGTCACGTGTGGGACATTGGGAAATAGGTAGGACCTTTAGGAACAATCACATCCTACTGTAAAGCACCTCAAACCTCTGCTCCGAGATGTACCTGCAGAAAACTCAATTCACTTCACAGAACTGACACAGCTGGGCTCAGCCTGTCCTTGCAGCTCCCTAGCAAGGATGTTTCAGGTGAGACAGAGCCTGTTTAGGAAAGGTCCCTCACCCTCTCATCCACCCACACCCACGAGAACAGGGCTGACAGACGCATGGGGTAACTGGCCCTGCTGCAGGGACAGCCCGCGTGGCTTGGGAGGGTGCTCTGCATGCCCTCAGCGTGCAGGAGCTGCCAAACACCTTCCCCCAGCGAGTACCAGCCAAGGCTGCTGGAAGGAGCAGGGAGAGGTGCCCAGTTTGGATCAGGGCCAGCTTTCAGCCGTGCCTGCAGAGCTGCGGACATGACTTCTGTCCGTCGGCAGCCCCACAGGGCACAGCTGGAGCAACAAGCATCTGATTTTTACTGCCCCTGGCTCCCTAACTTTGGGCTACCTGGTGCTTGTAAGAAAGCACAAGTTTGTGCCTGAGACGATGAAAAGTGGGAAAAGACTAGATAACATTTCTTCCTGTACTTCCATGTCCCACTGAGGACAAGGGGACTTGGCTTCCAGCGAACACAGGAACAAGTTACTTTGCCAGAGATCCCAGAGCCTAATGCTCTGGAGTTTCTTGAGAAGAAAGACATTTATGGACAACAAAGATCATGTCCTGGTCATACATGAAGAATTTATTAGATATTTTTTTAAATTATAATTGTTTTTCCATGTTCATATGCATTTCCTACATGGGTAAAATATTTCCTCTTATCTGCTGTGAGCTTTGAGGAAAAACGAAGTATTGTCTCCCAAAAATGTAACCCTAATTTTTGTTCAGAGAGATTTTGTGGTTAGGATTTATTCATGTAGTTTATAGAAGGCAAGTTCAAAATAGAGTTTAAGCTAGAAAGTTTCTGGGGAACATCAAAGAAGTTGATGCATTTGTTCTGCATGAAGCTAAGGGAGAAGATGAACAGACCGTCTCTTGCATCCGCATCAGGGTTATGTGGAAACACACAAAGAAGCTATTCATCCCTTTCTTAGAAATGCAGAATAAAGCTGTTTCCTTCAGACAAGGAAACAAACCCCTTTGTCACAACTGTTATTCTCTTCCTGTGCAGACTTCTATTCTTAGCTGGTCCATTTTGCTGCATCACTGTACTACAGTAAAAGACATTCACATTTCTTTTCTGCCACAACTCTGCAACAGCAAGTACGGCGTGTCAGACAAATTCCAAAGGCTGCAGTGCATCAATATTTAGTACGGCGTGTCGGACAAATTGCAAAGGCTGCAGTGCATCAATATTTAAATCTTGTTCCACAAAGACAACAGCACAGCACTTTGATGCCAAGAAGTCTGCATTGATTTACGGGCATATTCATTTTATAAAGGACTACGCTGGAGATAAATATAGGGGAAATTTCATCTTCTTAGCAGATTCCCCCGGAACTGTGTAAACACTGACGCGCTGTCTTCGTGCCTGCCCATTCTCTGACCGCAGAGCTAACCTATGGGGCCACTGACCAAACGCCTTCTTCCACGGGGCCACAAACTCTTTTGCTGATAACAGACACATACAGAATCACATCTCACAAAACTTGATAGAGAGAGATGTTTCTTCTTAACTGAGTGAGTTTTTAACTCAAAGAGGAGCTACTGTATTAGCTACTAACGCCCGGGTCCTTCCCATGTCAATCCTTCAGTGAACCATGACAGTCATGTACGACACCCACGTACAGGGCCTCTGGTCTGGCAAAGATTCCGGCGCCCCCTAATGCCCCACAAAGCCACGGGAGGGAAACTGCTGTGCACAATACACACCAGTGACTAGACTGAGTATCTGGCTCGTTCTCCTTCCCACTTGAAACATTACCTAAACAGTCTCCATTTCCTTCCTCATGTTATTTGAGTATGGCTAATGGAAAAGTTTATTTTAAGAGCTGCTTTCACATATTTTGCACAGGCATCTTTCTTCTTCCTACACTGACTGGTCTCTTCTTCCTTCTTCTTAAAATGCATTTTGCTTTCTGGGAGAAGGAGGAATCCACCTGGGATTACAGCATCCCAGTGTGGGTTTGAAAAAGTACGCCTTTCTCTAAAGCTATGGTACCAAAGCTACACTGCAACCCTGGTCTCCCACGCATACCTCCTGAGGGTGGGTAGCTGAGCAAAGCTGACTGGGGGGTGCTTAATCTGGGAAAAGCACCAGAGATGACCACAGAGATCCTTGCTTTTTTAAGGTAACAAGAGTAAGATGCAGGGGCTGTGTTTTACGCTGGATCATATGTGGATGCAAGTTTAGGCAGCAAAAGTCCTTAATAAAAAGAGTATTTCCTTCATAAAGGAATGAAAGCAGTAAACTTTCAGCAATTTTTTCAACAGCCAAATCTTCCAGGTTTTGTTCAAAGGAAATTATAATTTCTAATTATGAAAAACTTTACTACAACAAGATATAGATGAGAAATGTTCCTTGCTTCACAGCCACTAGTTTTGATGATGATTTTGTATAGCCTCGGTATAATTAGTTTTCTTCAGATACCCTTATCTTTCAGAATAATATAATTACATGAGGATGAAGTTGGCTTGGGTCTTCTCTTTCTTTTTGATGAACAAACTTTGGAGATATACACTGGAGAGACTAGTTAGTAAACATAACCTCTCCTGGCTCAGAATGAAGGCAGCAAATAAGGAGAAGACAAAACAATTAAAATCCCTTCAATTATTATTTTTTTAAATATTGTTTAGTTTGTCTCAACTGCATCTCACAGTATAAGATTTTTTAAATAGCTTCAATTTACATGTTAGTCAAGTTAGACCTCAAATTTGACAGCGTAAGCAAGGAACAAATACACGTTATGTAATGATTCCATCTGACCTACTGTTACCATTCAGGCAACCAGGTTGTGCTGGGATGTTCAGGGATGATCCCTAATGGGCATTTTAGAGAAAGCTTGTCCTTTGTGCTCTGTTACACAGGAGGTCTCTTATCGATGCCACTTTAAATGTGCTTCTAGAAGAATGAATACACATATGTAGAGAGCAAGTCAAGCAGAGGGAAAAGCTCAAAGAGGAGATGCTGTTTGTTTTACTCAAGGTACATATTAAGAAAAAAAAGTATTAGAAGGAAAATTATATGGACTCTTGGATCTAAAAATCTATTTCTGCTCTAACAAGTCATAGGATGGAAAAAAACGTTCAGTCTGATTTGGATAATGTTATGCTTACGTAGAAGAAACCCCCTTCATCTAACAGTATTTACAGATATTTCACAAAAGCCACAGCTAACTAAGACTGTTAAATGAAGAAACCAAAATCATTGGGATTACTCTGCATTGATTGTATCATATATTGACTAGCCTAATAATAGAGAGTGATCAGTTCAGTAAACAAAGCACCAAAAATCTAATAAAACTGGGTACTGACACACAACAGTAAATTACACAGAAATTTCAGTACATGGAAGGGCTCTCACAAAGCTATACAGTTTTTAGCTAAATGCTATTTCTGCTGAGCATAGTGCTTTGAAAGGCTCAGTACCTGATATTCAGGTTATGATAGACAAGAATTAAGGGGACCTCAAAACAAACTTACCAACTTCTTTTCCCATTCCTTATTAAGATCATCCACATAGGAGAGAACAAAATCAATTCTCCTGACACCATCCCTGAAGAAAATAGAGTCTTTGCTTTGATGTCTTTTATCAATCTGTGGAAGAGAGAGACATATGATGAAAAGAACAAGCATAGCTGTTGCTCTACAATATAACTGAAGACAAAAGTTTCCTCAAATTGCCTCAATTCTTCAGTTTCTTCATAGCTGAAGATACACCTGGGCAAGTTCTAACAAGAGCAGCATCCAGTTAAAATAATTTCCCAATTAACTGCTTAATATCCACACACACTGTTGGTAAATAACCGGTATATGAAGAATAAATGCAAGTTAGTGTAGCAGTACTCAGGAACAATGTTACCATTACACTCCTTTCAGTCTTCACAGCGTGTCCTGAACAATCAAGACAAGTGTTAATTGACAGCCCAGATTCTGTCTGCCATTAGTCAGAACGCCGCTCTGCGCAAAGCCAGCGCAGGCCCGGTTCACTGATGAAGCAGGTAGCAAAAAGTAAATTCCATGCATTTTCTTCTACGTAACAATAGTCAACTGTATCAACCACCACACAGAAATATGTCCCAGCAACGACCACATGCAAAACCAGCACACAAACAATACAGGGGTGACATTTCCAAATTGAGTATTTACATTGGGAGCAGAGAGAATACTAATCAATTGATCTGTTAAAGGTCATGTTTTATTTATCAGCATGCCAGAATGTCGTAAGGACAACATTCATCTTTTTCATGGAGTAGACTACAGCAATTACCGTTAAGCAAATAACAGACTATTACCTCACTCTCCGAGCAAAGTTAACATAACATTACGTAGTATTATTTTTTATCCTATCAGTATTCAGCTCCACCAAACTGCTGACAAGACTAGAAGTTCACACAGCAAAGTGCTCTCTACACAGAAGCTAAGGCTCTGGTCTAAATTTATTTCCATGCTAAGGAAGGTTGGTGTCGGCTTTTTTAACCACACTCATCGGCAAAAGTGTATCTCTATAGGACTGAATTGGGTTTTCTTTTCATTACAGTAGGAACCAAAAAGAGTAATTCAGAGGGTTATGTCTCTGTCATTTCCCTTTTAACCCACGCAAGGATGCACGTGAAAAAGTGCTCCGAGAAAGCACAGAATATTTGTAACGGTGAACGTTGCTCCCAGTTAACAAGAGGCATCACGCAGTGAAGCATGTTATTACTGCAGCCATCCAAGCCACTTGCAGTATCATTCATCACTGTTTTACCCTGAGACGTCGCTTCAGGAACAGATTATATCTCCTTCCACTCTGCCGGAATAACCAACAAGTAGTTAGCAAGCCCACTGTTCCTCTCCAAGACCCCAACCAACTGCTTTGAGCACAAATCCCCAGCTACAGTTAGCAAGACGTGTGTCTTAAAACAGCCAGGAAAAGCCTCCAGCTATTGGACAGACACAGGCACCCACAAACATTATTACTCTACTGCCTTCCTCCTTGAAGGCAAAGCTGTGCTGGCATCCATTTTGACAATAAACTCGGGTGTTTTAAAATAACAATTCCTGTAATGCTAATTGCCATCATTTTGATATTTCAGCAGATTACAGAAAAGAACAGTAAGGAAGTTGCTTTGACTGTAATGCAAAGGTAAGAAAACAAGCATTGGCTAACGAACAGTGTTAGGTTGGATGAGCTGGGACGCAAGAAGATGAATCATAGAATCACAGAATCAC